TCAGGTGGTTAGGACGCTTGACTCGCAATAAGAGGGTCGCAGGTACAAATCCTTGTCCCTCCAAACATGCTCGCCCTTTCAACCTTGGAGACGTTATAATGTTACGGTCAATCTGACTCTTTTTTTTGGTAAAAGAGTAGCCCAAGAGTTGGCGGTGGGTAGCGATGACAAGCTGCCTTCCCTCTAGTCTGTCACTGCTAAATTATAGACGGCTAGTGCAGATAGCCCTCGTGTAGCTTTGCACGAAATTCAAAACAAAACAAAGCAAACCTTGTGTAAATCTGTGCGAATGTCCAAAACAAACAAACAAAATAAAGATCATCGTGAAAAAGCCAAATTCGACCAGAAGAAACGAAACTCACACAGTTGTTTTACTTTAAATGAGATGTAGCTATAAAGAAATGAAGGTCGTCATGTCCAGTTTCTTCTTGAAATATAGCCGGCTTCTCTGTATATAGAAATTGGTAAGGCATAAAAACAAACGCGAATTACCAGGGGAAATCTACAGGAGGAGGATGGAGAGGATTTGACTAACTTTGCTTGAAACTATATTCAATTTCTGCTAGAACTTTGTAGAATCCTTTGTCACCCACATTGGAGATCACTGTTATTATTTTAAAAAGTGAGAACGAGAGTTTCCAGTGTCTTTATTTTATCATATGTGCAGCACGCCAAACATCGGGAAAAATAATTAAAGCCTTGTCTAGTGTACGTACAGAGCACTAGTTCTGAGTATGAGTGGTAACCTACGAGTGCTGTCCCAGTCTATTAGAACTATAATACTTACATATTACACATTTTTTTTATACAAAAATGTACATAAATTTCAGATAGTTCGGCATGTTCCTACTTTCGAACTATTTGTGTCAACTGACACGTTCACGTTTTTTTTTATCACCTGTATTTGAAAAAAAAGTAAAAACAGTTACTCACATGTAGAATCTATTCTTGTTTTTCCTAGTGTAAAACTATCTATAGGATCAAAACATAGTAGATGTAATTTATAAACGTGTAAGCTAATAGGCCCGGCATGTTCAGGTGGTTAGGGCGCTTGACTCGTAATCTGAGGGTCACGGGTTCGAATCCCTGTCACACCAAATATGCCTGGTCCCAAGTCCAGGATGAGAAAGGGGGAAGGTTGGGCGCGGGGCTAGTAATTCCACCCCGTAAAAACCAATCTGCTACAAGTAACTGCAACAACACCTTCCGTTGGCGAGGTGTTGTTGCGGCCCTATTCTCCACTGGGAGTTTACAGGAATATAAAAAAAAAAGACTGTTAATATCGTAGTATGTGACATATGCTGTGATGTTTATATATATATATGTGTGTGTGTGTGTGTGTGTGTGTGTACGTATGTATATGTGTTTACATGACATTAGAATTGCTATTTCGGGTTAGTGATCGAAATTGGTCGTTATAAGAAGCGTCTCCTTAATCAGTTGATACCCTCTCTCAGTAAGAGATAAAGCTTATTAATTCGGGATTTGATCCCTGCCTTGGGCACGTCGCAGATAACCCATTGTGTAGTTGAATTTAGTGTTCATTGGAAATTTTCACAGACTTCTAAGATTGAAATTAGAAACTTTGACTAATATAAATAAATTTGTACAAAATATTATTTCTATCACTGGTATATTTTCGCTGTGTTAGTAAACATGTCGCTTTCAAGATTACAAAAGCAATATGGAGCCTCTGTGGCATTTGTGGCTGATTGCATGGACGTTTGGAGATGTGATTAATGCCCTTGTTGTTATAGAGAAAACCATTTTAACAGTTGTGATAACAAATCACATGGACTGCAGATCGTTTTTCTACAGTTTTAATTTGTCCATTTCAGATTTGAAATGCTATTTTTAAACATCTTTAATTTAGTATCCGAAATAGATAAATTAGGATTGCGACATAAATAGTCAACTTGACTTTTATTACAAACTAGACCACATGACCCGTTGGGTCAACCACTATTCAGAGGTTATGAAGAATTCAAGCTAATTTCAATATTACACCGAAATGAAGGTTTATTTTGAGATAAGTTAATTAAAT